TAGACATATAGATAGGTGGATCGATAGATCGATAGATTGATAGATAGATGGATAGATAGAGAGATAAAGAGATAGATAGATGGATCGCTAGATAGATAGATAGATAGATAGATAGATAGCTAGATAGATAGATAGCTAGATAGATAGATAGATAGATAGATAGATAGGTAGATAGATAGGTAGATAGGTAGGTAGATAGGTAGGTAGATAGGTAGGTAGATAGGTAGGTAGATAGATAGATATAGACATAGATATAGATATAGATATAGATATAGATATAGATATAGATATAGATATAGATATAGATATAGATATAGATACAGATATAGATATAGCTATAGATATAGATATAGATATGCATATGGATATAGATACAGATATATAAGTATATGTACATGCATGTATGTAAGTTCATGTTCATGTTCACGATCGTCGCTATCATCATCACAGTCACGAGCCTGAACACGACTACGACGGGCGCGCGCGACGATTTTGACCCTTCTCTTTGCTTGCGACTACAGCTGCTACATTGCCTACTCTGGCCTTTTACCTATCCAATGTTAACAGTTAACCACAGTAGCCGCAGTGCCTCCCAACGACATCAACTCCTACAGTTGGTGGGGATCAGCTGCCAATGCTATCTGCTGCACTGCTGCCGTCTGTTGCTGTGCTTTCGTAACACTACTGTTGCGCGATTGTCAGTCTCCCGCAGCCATTCTGCTCAGCAGTATCAGCAGCACCCCACACAGCTGCATCTTAGACAAGAGTCATCCGTCTGAGCTTCCAAACACTTCACATGCACAACCGGCCTAAACCCTGCTCCCTAATCGTTGGACATCGTTAGACTCCGGATACTCCGGGCCTAGGCTTGGAGGCGGCAGAACTTCATGGGGCCTCCACGACCAAAGACAGGATTCGCTTCACCGGCTCCTCGATTTCTTTCCAGAAGGCTCTCATCTTGGAGAGAACTTGCGTGCCTCGAAGGGCTGAGGGTTGAGGGTAGTATTCATCTTGGAGCAATCTGGAGAATCGTTCGAAAGCCCTTGGACAAGTGCTGCCAGAGTGCACGATTTAACGAGCTTTTTGGCTTGGGACATCTTCACCTGCCAAATGCGCAGGCAGGGCGCTGCCCAAACACACAAAAAGGCTCCAGTCCTGAAACGTTTTGCGCAGGCTTGAAAACAGAGTGGCAGCTTCGGCTTTCACTTCATCGAGGACTGCCAGACCTGCATTTCAAGGAGCCAGGATGGACAGAGAAGCTCGCTCAAGCCATCTGAGATTCTGCCACATCCATCTCAGGCTCTTGCTTCTGCAGGCGCCGTCGCCAAAATTGTCGCAAACATCACTCGCCTTGTCTCATGTAGTTCAACGGTTCAACATCAGATGCACGTCTCGCGCACGAAGTTGAAGCTACCCGAAGAGGGAATATGGGAGTTTCCGAAAATAGGGGGCCCTAATTACTAATATAGTACCCTAAATAGTAGGATCCTTGTTATAAGGACCCCAAAATAAGGTACCTCTATCTTTCGGAAACTCCCATACGAAGCATTGAAACGAGTGGAACTTTGGAGCTGCGGTCGAGGAGCAGATTTCATATCCTTGAAATCACCAAGCATCGCATCGAAATCATCACCACCCCTGCCCGGCGCGTCAACGACGGATTTCTGGAGATACCTGGGCCAGAAGAGCACCAGATTCGACTGCACTCTTTGGCTACCTCGGTACCCTGCTGCCTTTGAGAATGACTAGGTTCAATATAGTAACCCTCATCGAACCCTTCATGTAACCTTGATATGTAACCCTGATACTAACCCAACTTACCGGTTCAAGCAGGTTGCTGCAACCAGCTGTCGATGATGACGTCAGACTTGCCCCAAGCCCTTCGGCATGCGAGTGACTGTGGCTCACACATTGCAAAGACTGCAAAGCATGAAGATGTGTATATACGTAAACCTGTATACATAATGTGTATATGTATATACATAACTGTGTACATGTGTATGTATATGTATATGTATATGCATATGTATATGTATTTTATATGTAACTGTATCTGCAACTGTATGTGTATACGTATATGTATATGAGAGTATACGTACATGTATATGTAACATATTCCGTATGTATATGTGCACGTGTGTGTACGTGTTCTTGCACGTGCCTTTCATGTCTGTCTACGCTTAATTAAGCTGCAGAAACTCCCGCATGCCGGCAAACGGCTTTACAAGAGGTCTCAGCCACAAATCAGCCGGGGGCCTATCGATGTACGTACATAGTGTTTTCATTCATACAGACATACATACATCCATGCATGCATGCATACATACATACATAGTATGTGTGTCTGTCTGTCTGTCTGTCTGTCTGTCTGTCTGTCTGTCTGTCTGCCTGGATGTATGTATGTATGTATGTAATTATGTATGTATGCATACCGATAGATAGACATAAACTTGCGTATAAGGTGCCTGTATATGTTATGTTCAAAACATCCATACACATGTTGTATGTATACACTTAACTACATAGGCAAGCTTTCTACATGAAGAGCCTCTTCGCCGCTTCTTTCAGTGGGTTGAGGAAGGCTCCCATGTCCCGCGTGGCCAAAGCTGCCATGAGGTTGGCACCTGAGACTCGCAGACTACAAACTTGATGCGTGGAGGGTTTAGGGTTTAGGGTTTAGGGGTTTAGGGGTTTAGGGTTTAGGGTTTAGGGTTTAGGGTTTAGGGGTTTAGGGTTTAGGGTTTAGGGCGGAGAGAAAAAGCAAAGCTATGGAATCCTTAAGGGAGGGGGTTCTAAGGGGGGTATATAACCCAGTAATCCCAAATTCTCCCTAGTACCTCCCTTAGGTTCCCCAAAGCTCCCTAAGGATCCCTAGGACCNNCACCCTCCCTTAAGGATCCTATAACAAAGAGAGACGCTAGGCCGCTAGGTTAGGCACCGAGGACAGCAAGTGCTCCCTTCCATTTCGTGGGCGGTATCTCCATCAAGGGCTTCATGGTGACCATCTGGAGCTCAGCAGATCGAGAGCTGTTGTATGCCTGGCACAGACCATGAAACAAAAAACCCTACACCGTCCTACACCGTAAACCCTGGAAACACACCCAGACAACCTCATCCAACCAAGAGGTGAATGCAGAAAACACACACAAGCGGTATCGTCGATGGTCTTGTTGTCACGCACAGATCTAGATTGTGCCATGAGAGGCCTGGCCGATCACATCCTCCAGTTCCATCACCGAGGACCTCGTTCGTCTCTTCTCACCGTGCTGCTTTCCGAGGCAGAGGCTACCGTGCTGCTAAGAAGCGGTGGACTTGGCCGTCCTCACGATCACTACAGTAATGCGTGCAACAGTCGAGTCCAACGCAATCACTCAAGCAGCACAGCTGACAACGTACAGCTGATCCCTGTTTTGCCTCGCCATTACTGCGGGAAAACTTTCCCAATGACACGACAGAATTCGGCCTGAGAACATGTCAAAACACACGAGAAACCCGAGACGTAGGATGGCAGGGCGTCTGAATACTGTGCTCTTGAATAAGTGCCCCTGAACAGCCTGACTCCAGACAAACCCCTTTTCCTAAATCAAAAAATCCTTAAACCCTAAACCAACAAACCAACAAACCCTTAAACCCCTAAACCCTGCACCCTCAACCCTTCAACCCTTGTGCCCCTAAGCCTAATAGACCCCAAACACCCTTCAACCCTAAACCCTGAAGCACCTGGGTGGTTGTCAAAATTATGGTCCCTTTTTGGGTCCTTATTATAATACGGCACCTATTATTTAGGGTGCCCCAAAAGGGGCCATAATTTTGACAACTACCCACCTGGTTCCAGCTCGAGGAGGCCCCAATGCTTCTGTGAGCGCTTGGAGAGCTGCGGCAAGGTCATCTCAGGAGCCGGGCTCCAGTCCTTTCAGGGTTTCAGGGTTTCCGGATTGAAGTGGTTTCAAGGTTTAGGATTTAGGGCTTTGAGAATTTAGGATAATTTCGGGATTCGGGCTTCAGGGTGTAAGGGTTTTTGGGTTTAAGGTTTCGGAGCTCACACTCGGACATGCCAGGCGAGGTTATTGATGCGTAGTCAGCTGGAGGCGAAACCTACGTGCTGAGATAGAATGACTTCCTTCTTGCAGCCCAATCCAAGGTTCATTCCAGCTACGAGTATGAGGAGGAATGCGAACACATGAAGATAGTCTTCAAGTCACGGGGTTTAGGGGTTTCGGGCTTGGGGTTCTCAGAGCACAGAGGAGAAGCGGCACAGCTTGGGGTATGAACGCTGTGGTGCCTGCTGCTCCAAGAGACTGGAGTAGCCCTTCGGGTTCGGGTTGGAACCATCGGGCAGCATGAAGTAGTACAAGTCCTGCCAAAGATGGTGAGTGAAACTGTCATAAACAAAAAGAACAAGTATACGATTGATAACTTAACACTTAACAACTTACAACAAACGATATATATATATATATATTATGTATAGCATATCTACTTAACACACAGTATGCATTGAAGACAGCCTTCAAGCTCTAAGTGGAGGTCCTCTACTCGGATGATGTCTTCAAGTGGATATTTCTCACCTGGCTGGCGTGACTCCACTGCAATGTCGGTGGTGACTGGACCGGAGACTCCAGGGCCTATGTAAATATCCAGGCCGATGACAGCCGCAAGGCTCAGGGCTGCGAGGAGCATGACGTTGCAGCCCCTCTTTGTGAGAAGATCCTCTCCTGCCTGTGATGGCTGACATTGGGGATCGGCAATCCGCAAACAACATGACGGGGGCTTCACGGCTAGAACTCTGTAAGGGCACCCCGTTTGCCAGAGCTCACGCACCGAAGCACCCCTACACACAGACACACACACACACACAACGAAAAAAACAACACACACGGAGACCGACAGACCGATAGTCTTGCACTGTATTGGCAGATGAGCGTCTTTTGTAAAGAGCGCCCACGCAAAGAATACCGCTGCAGTCACCATCTCGAGCACTGTCAGCATCATCACCGCGATCAGCAACAGGTTCCAAGGTCGCATAGCTTCCTCAAAGCAAAGGTCTCAGACCCTGAAAGGCTAAGACCCTTGTTCTGACCTTGCTTCTGAAGCCATGTGAAGCAAGGCCCAGACGAGCGTGTCACAGTTCGCGAGTGTGTCACCTCAGTGGATCCGGAAACACAGCATGTCATTCCCAACACAACGACACCTTCTTTCTGAGTTGCAAAGATCCGGATCGTGGTCTTGCTCGTCGTGCCCCAGCTCCGATTGCAATCCATCCATCGTCGTAACCTCCTTTGATAGCATGCGTGTACAACGAGCAAGCTGGAACATAAATTCGGCATGCTCATGCGCCCAAGTCTCATTGACATCCTCCAACTCGTTTTTGGTGGGCGGTTCGGCAATAAAGCCTCGGTCCAGTCACAAGGTCAGCTGACCTGGCTTGCAAACCCAGTGCTTCCTGTAGTCTGTCGAATGTGTGGCCGCCATGATGCGTCCGTAATCATACGCTGCCAAGTCGCTCAAAGAAACACCACCCCCGCGGACCGATTTGCGGCAGTTCTCATAAATACTCAAGGCGATTGGATCATTCTTGGTACCTTCCGCACCTTCCAAGATGTCGTCGCAAAAGTGCACAAGCTTTGCCTCAGCTGGGTGCCATGAGCTGCCGAGGGTGCAAACGGACATCATGCTGCAGCCCGCAGCCCGCACCTTGCACATCTCAGCATCGACGAAGACGGAAAAAATTGCATCGTGCGGCTTGCAAAGCGAATTTGCAGAAGCGGACCAGAGGCCAGCTTGAAGCTCGAAAGCCTAAGGCAGCCGTGAGTGCTTTTTCTATGAAGGGATGGTGTCAATGTCCTGCTTACATCTCACCGAGCCGCCACGTGAGGTTCCGTTGATCGCTCCAGCTTGCGTTGCAAGGCCGGGCTGAAATTCGTCTTAGTTGTGCAGTGCGGTGACCACTCATTCTCAGATACGACCATGGCCGTTTCTCGTCATGCCCAAGATGCTTTGTGGCCAGTGGCTGGCAAGATTGCCACCATTGCCTTGAACCTGGGCGGGTCTTGGACTCTCTGCGCCACTCTTGGATTCGGCTGAGCCCAAGGCATCTCGTAGACTTCAGCAGGGGGCACTTCGACATGAAAGCAGTGCCACCTCGCAGAGCATGGGCCACTTCGCACAAGGAAGTACCTCACTTGCATCCTCCGAGTGCAGAGCCTCTCGGAAGCTAGAGCCCAAACCTCAGGAGCTACGAGTACTCCTGTAGGAGGACTGAGTAGGACCAGGATCCTACTTCCGGAAGATCAGGGAGATTCTCAGCACACCAATTCGATGTCCAGTCACCAGGAAGGCCGCCGACGCGACAGCGAAGGCGAGAGCCGCCCCCCGCAGCCCTTTGCTTGGACTGCGAGGCGCCGAATCCTCCTCCGGGCCGTTTGGGCCCTCTGGCACAGCTCCGGTCGCTCCCGTCGAGGCAGCGGCGTCACCTCTGTAAAGGCTTCGCTTCTGGCGCAGACAGAGAACGCAAACAAACGACGGCCGCCTTCATTCATAGAAACAATGCAGTCTGGTGCCTGCCAGCGATGGCGGGTTCGACGAAAGCCGCAGAACAGGAAAAGCATGGTTTCTCGAATGCACGGGGGCCTGTTTGTCAAACCACTCGCATAGCACTCACGTGAAACGAAGGACGCGCTCATTCTACCGAAGAGCTTCGAGCCAAATGGCATCACACCAGCGCCATTCCAAGAATGCCTATACCGCCCATACCCGTTGCCTGGAACCTTCCCTTCGCTCAAAGCTGCGGAGTCTTGTCTTGCAGCCGGGTGTCAACTACCAATGTGCTGTTTGCAGGATCGCAAACAGCTCCCTGCAGGCAGTCCTCAGATATGTGAGATCTGGATCCAAGATCCCGCTGCAAGTTGCAGTATGGTATAGTATTGTACAGTATGATACAGTATGGAATAGTATGGTATAGTACAATAAAGTATAGTATAGTATAGTATGGTATAGTATGGTATAGTATGGTATAGTATGGCATTGTATGGTATAGTATAGTATAGTATAGTGAAGCAAAGTACAGTAAAGTAAAGTATAGTATAGTGCAGTGTGGTGTCGTGTCGTGTTGCATAGTGCAGTATCGTATTGTGCATGGTATGGTGTAATACAGTAAAAAGTAAGCATAGTATGTACGCGTGTATATATATATATAAAGAGAGAGATGGGATGGGGAGCTTTGACCGGAGATCTGCTGTCTGAGGTGCCTTGCACTCCGACTGGCCTTGCGATGTCGCTTGCGTTCCCGCTGGGCAGGCAGTGCATCTGGGGCCTTCGTTGTGACCAGGACACGACAGCCATCCCCAAAAGACTCTCTCTTCCGCTGTGGGGCTGCGCGAATCTCGCGAGCTCCCGTCCAGGCATGGAGTGCACGGAGTGCTGGGCCCCTGTCCTTTCGACAGGTCGCTACTGCAGAGGCCTTTAGGCAACAAAGACGGCGGTAAGAGACAAGAAAGCACGGCGCTCCTGTGGTGTTGTCCGCAATGTTCGCCAGCATCTTGAACAGGGCTGAAGTCACCACCTCGAAGCCGTCCTCACCTGAGCCATCCCATGCCAGACTAACAGCTGAAACGTCTGGCTTCAGAGCGGCGCTTCTTTCACCAAGTCGCAGGGATATCGCATCAGCAATCGTGAATCTTCCGCAGGTCTCGGATATGCCTGAGCAGATCTACGGCAAAAGCCCAACTGTGTGCCATAACCCGCTCTTGTTAACGACGCATACATACAAACATATATACACACATACACATACACATGCATCCTTGTGTACTATGGTTACAGTGGCTCTTCATCTCTGGAGCAATCTCAGCTTCCCGCTATTGGCAGCTGCGGCGAGGCCTGGAAAGAACCCGACAAGGACGCTCATAGTGGGAGTGGCCATAGTAGCGATGATAGCAAGAGTAATATCAATGACAACATTGATGATGCTTGTGCAGGCACGGTGTGCAAAAAGCCCTCGGCAAGATGCATCCACCGTCAACACGAAACGCACTTCCACTTGGGCCTGGGAGATCTGATACACCTGTCAGCAACCCGAGAGTTTCTGGCTCGTTGCGGCTAAGGCCATGGTGCGCCTCGAGCAGTTGCGGTGTCAGCCGAGTGTAGGCCAAGAGCGCGTCGGGTCTGATGTTGTCGGCTCGCGGCGGCTGCGGGTTACCCTGCCTCAGAGTACCGGTTATTAGGGCTTCGGATGTAGGTCTTTCAGTTTGGGATCCTCGTGACATCTCATAGCAAATCTCGAGCCCCGACAATCGTCGCCCGTCATCGCTGACATTCACGGCCTCAGTCGAGGAAGGAATGCACCTGAAATGTCATGAAACACATCTTTGCCAGCTCCAAGATCCTTGCAACGAGTTGGGAGACGCCCATTATCGAGGATACCAGGAAGCCCTGGCTGTTGAAACACAGCAGCTGGTAGAATGAGTCCTGTCACACTATACACAGAGTCCCAACGGTGGTTGAAGTCGCCAACTGCAGCGACCGATATTCCACAGGTATAAACAAGATGACTGCAGCCCGTCCCTGGTGGCATCGCACTCCAGCAGCAAGAGCTGTATTTCCGTGTTTACTTGTCCTCGGCTGGCGGCCGATAAAGGGTCCATCGCCAGTATATCTGGCACCCGTCTGGCGACATCATGCTTGTCGTGCTGAGACTACGTCCTCTCTGATACTCATGCACCAGAAGTTGCGAGAAACCGGATGGACCGAGTTCCGACAATGCAGGACACGCCCAAGGACTGTTTCGCAGTTGCTACTTGTGGGTGCTACCTTCTCTTCAGGGCTGCATGGCACGGCAATAACCCTTTGCTTTGCTGTAGCAGATTTTGGCATATCAGCATCCTCTACTTTCTGCAACTCCCACTTCCGACGAACTGGATACAAGGAGGACCCGAATTGAATTTTGGGTGTATCAACCTCAACTTTAGAATTGGGTGCGGCTTGCGGCACTGAAAGCCGGCGCAACCGAATTCGCGAAGAGAATTTCCTCCAGCTCATCCGCAAGCTTCACAGTCCTGGATATTCTGTTGGCACGTCTCTGGAACAAAGGCTATTCGCGACCTTGCCGTGACATGCTGGGTCTTCTTTTTTCTTGAACCCCTCTTCTTCCCAAGCCACTCTCGCACGTCTCCAAAAGAGGCCAAAGTGGCCAGGGGGTACAGGCCAGCATAGGTTACATGCCGGGTCTTCGTCTTAGGTCTTAGGGTTTAGGATGAAGGGCGTCCCTGAGGGCTTAGAGATTGGCACGCTGGATGTCTGTCTGTACTTGTGCCACGGGTCAAGGCCATTGCAGCCGCTGCAGCTTGAGCAGCAGACAAGGAGGGTTCCATGTGGTAGCGACCTTAGGTATCAACATGTATCAACATGATCCCTGAACCCTCAAGCCCTAAAGCCCTAAAGCCTCAAACCTTAAAAGGACCCAAACCCTAAACCTAGAGCACGCGGCAGCCGCAGACTTGTGGCAAGGAGCTCTGGTATGCAGCGGCGAAGGCTTCTCTGGTCACGGAGGTGTCGCAGGCTTGAATAGTACATGGCCTGCAGGAGAACTCAAGCAGCCCGCACCAGATAGAGTGTGGTATAATATTGTGCAGTGTAGTATAGAAACGCACAGTAGAGTATAACACAGTACCATAATGTACCATATGGGTAGTTCTGTAAACCAGGGTCCCGCTTTAGGTCCCCAAACCAGTACGGCATACTCATAAAAGCAAGGGACCCTAATTTAGACCCTAAACCCCTAAACCCTAAACCCTAAACCCTAAACCCTAAACCCTAAACCCTAAACCCACCAACAGCT